GCATCCGATACCCGATAAATTCAATAGAAGAACCCTCAGCCGTTTCACGCCCCACCGGCTTCTGACACTTCCTGAAAGGAAAACTCGCTTAAATTATATTTTTATCGTAAACTGCATTTACTAAGCTTTCTTCTGATGAATATTTTGCTAGGATTTTAGTGAAACTAGCGCGCTTACGAATTTTTTCCCAAAGGACACCCGCGTAGGTGGGAAATTATCTTAACGTATAGATTTTGTTTTCTTTTCCAAGATGGCGTCTTCAAAAGGCTTTTTTCGCACCTCAGAGCACCGGGTGCTTAGGATGTTCTGGGATATCCTTCAACGATATCATACCGTTTTGCTCATGTGCAGACACTCCTGAGTGGGAGAGACTGGACAAAGGATTCGTTACTATGGGTGAGTGCGTTTTTCAAAAAAAATTGATGAGGAAAAAGTTTCAGCTAAACGGTCTTTTTATTTTATTCAATACTTGAGTCAAAGACAATTTAATCATTTCTGCATGGTACAGTATTTAGATGTTAAGTTGATCAAATTAAAGAAGAGCCGGTTTGTAATGTTTTGTCGAAAATGTTTCCGGACTCACGCTGGAGAGAATCCTCGAGCTCTAATGCTCGACTTAGATCGACTTAGTTAGAGCAGTCGAAAATATTTGAAGCAGATAAAACTGATGTACCATTTGAAGCCAAAAAATAAAACCCCTAAAATACAAGGGGGCAAGGTGCTGGTTTAATTTCATACCTTTTCCGCATTATCTAATCTGATTTCTATTCGAGCCAAACTCAGGCCAGTCCTGGTCAGAGTCGGATCAAAGCGAAGTACTTTTCAGGTCAACCTCGGGCACGTTCGCGTAAAACTCGGTTCCGGTAAACAAATGAAGTAATTACGACTGCTCTGTTGGATTGATTTTTCTCCTCATCCTACTTGCTTTTGATAGGTGACCTTGCAGATATGAAACCGGAATATATTTGTAACACAGTTGTGAACAACTGGCAGAAGGAACCTGGTGGGGTCCGCTCGGACTCCTATGAGCTTCTCACCCTGTCTCCCACGGGGATAGAAAGACTGGACGAGAATCCGGAGGAACACAACAGCTTTGCCGGTACTGCAATTATTATCTCCACAGTATTTTTTTGACAAATAGACAAGCGGTGATGTTTTTTAAAGATGATTACGTCTCGCCTCCCGAAAACATACGCAAAAAAAAAACTTTGCCAATATCCAGCTATCTTGACCTCCCGCTTGGTCAATGACGCATTTTTATTTCACTATAGGCGCCAACAAAAAAATTCTTATAATCTCAATAAGACAAGCTTTACGATGTATCCAACAGGAAAAATCCAACCACGTGGTCTTCCACTGTCTGATGTCATGGCAACATCAGCGGCTGTTCTGGCGCTGTACATGGGCGTGTATGACGTCAAGACCGAGGCAGTGCGTAACCTTCAAATGGTGTTGGGGGTGCATTGTGGAAAATCCCTGATATCAGATCCAGACAGAGATGTGGCAGGATCAACAATTTTTTGTTGTAGGGTAAGTTTCTTTTGCCCTAACAAAGAAATTTGGATCATTGACTTTATATAGGAGCGAAGACTGAGCCTGGATCATCCTTCGAATTCCGGTTACAAGTTATGACGTCATCTTAGGAAGTTCCTTACGGTTATTGCATTTTTAATCCACGTCAATCTTCACCATCCTTAGATCTCCTCAGCCATGCTTGTCCATTCTTGGTTTATCACTTCCTCATTTGTGTTAAACTGTCGTATCAAACTAAAATCCTGTAGCCTCCTTCAACAGAAGTGCGGTGTTGCTTTTCAATTATGATGTCACGCAACCATGACATCAACCTACACTCTGAGAAACAAGCGCGAAGCGCAAGGGACCACGGGAAGAAGGGGAAAAGCGTTCCTTTCCTCATTTGAGTGCCTATTGGTTGTTTAATAGATAGATCTCCGGTACGAGGCAAACTGAAACTATAACCCTTAACCTTAGTCATTAAATAAAAATAAAACCAGACAGCTACTGCTTAATCTGATCTTGTCACAAAGTGCCAACATTATATTTCGTTTCCTCCAGTTCCTGCCTGTCATTATACAGCTGTTTATTGTGGTTCCCCTAATTCTCCCGCCATTTTTGAGTCATGACTGGCATGCTATTTTGGTGGTCTGGTATCTATCTATTGTTGTCCTGGTGATGGTTACCGCTGCTTTGCCAACGGGCCCAGAAAATGGCGGATGCGCCGACAAGTTTGTGAGGTAACAGAGTCGCTGAATGTAAAATTCCTTCTTCAAAGCTTTCAAATAATAGAATAAACTCAAACATTGCATAAAGCAAGGTTAAAAAGAGTTTTAGAACCTATCCGGTATTTCAGCGGTTTTGCTTGTGCTACTCTCTCAACCATGGCTGCAATTGCGACACTTTCCCACCTTTAAGACAGTTTGCTTGTAATGTGATGTGACTAGCTCCTTGTAATTTGCTTCTTTCCTTTATCCTGATCGGTCACTGGTTAGTTTATATTCCGCCAAGCAATAGTTATTTGAATTACGGCTTTATTTGTGTTTGTTGCTTTCAGATGGTGTGTTGTAAACATCTACCATGTCCGATTTGCACGCCTGTTACTTCGGACTGTCGATCTCGGTCCAGTTCCCCCGCCTCTCCTCAACCTTAGTGATGGCGGTCACATCGAGCAGCTGGGACTATTGGCACTCTTGAAAAAGAGGCTGAAGAAAATCGTAGTAGTCGACGGATGCAGCATGGGGGAAGGCAATCCCGTTTCCACTCAATTACTCCGGTCGCTTGATTTGGCGCGAAAGAGGCTGCGGTGTTCTTTTAGTGCGATGGACGGTCGAGACATCGTCGAGGACATCCGAAGCAAGCTCGAGGAAATGCCCGACAATTATAAGCCTCGGTTCTACAAGTTCAGGGTTGATTACTATGAGAAAAATATGGATTGCTTGAGCGATGAGAAGGTCGGGGAAGGGGAGATTTTACTTATACTGCCTCGACATCCAGACGAGGGTGAGTAGCATTATATTTTTGAGATTTCATTTCATACTTCCTGTATCAATGACAAGATTTTTAACTTTCCTTTTTGAAAGGTATATCCAACTCAACTGGATCGTCGCGATCATGGAAGGATTGCCTGCGTCACACTCATCAACCAATCAACAATGAGTACTGGGGAACCGGTCCTGACCTTGAAGCGGGGGAAGTCGACCGACTGAGTGGCTGCTGTTGTGAATGCTGTCACGTGACTTGCTGTAAAAGCTGTTCTGGGTAAGAATGACGTTTTTCGGATATCAAACCTATGAGCGAACCCGAACTGTTCGTGTTCTTCAATCGGCTTATTTGGTCTAAAGTCTAGTGACCTGAGACAATAGCTATAGAGAACATTGCTTTAAGAACGCAGATATTTTGCGATGCGGACTGAAGTAATTTATGTTCGTGATTACTTTAAGATGATCTGTCTTCTTTTCAGGATTTTGTGTGGATTCTTTCCTCATCACGCGACTCTCAACCAGTTCTTCACCCCCGCATTATTTAGTGCTTACCACAGGGAGGGCTACCGCGCGTGTCTAGACGCCGAAATTGGGCAGTTTTTAACCGAAGAGACTGGTGAAAAGAAATAAGCAGTGGATAATGGTAGTTTAGTACCCAAACCTCCCGAAACGGCATAAGGATGATGTGAAAATGATTGGCACCGGCACCGTATGAACTCTGAGATTTGACTTTCTTCCCAGAGTTCATTCGTCGCCTGGATATTTTTCCCCTACTTATTTTGAATCAGGCGACAGATCCCGCTGACGAAGAGGGAGTGAACAATCTGAATTGCTCTGTCTCTTTGCTACAAATCGAGTCTTGAGCACAGCTTCCACAACAAGTTTTTTTAAGCGCTTCAATTTTTACGAAAATTGTTGCGGCGACGGGATTCTGTCGCACGGACGTAAGCCAAAACAACAGGCGTCATGACTTCTTGCAGTTACTAGATGGAGCTAAGCACGAGGGTCGGGATACGTGCGCGGATGAAGAGCGGGAGACGTGCGCGGGTGAGGGGAAGGACACGTACGCGGACGAGGGGCGGGAGATGTGCATGGACGCAACAAGAGAGGGCTAGAGAGAAGTAATGCGTGTCCTCGCACCTACCCTCCAGGGACAATAATTCTAGAATAAAGCTGGGACTAAAGGTCTTACTTGAAAAAATAAATTTAAAATCGTTACTAGTTGAGACGCATTTATTCATCTTAGAGACAATCACATCCATATTTGGTGGTAGGGGTTACCAAGGAGTGTAAAATTGTTTTGAACGCAATAAAAACATAAAAACGTTCTTCAACGCAATTTTCAGGCTTAAAATATACTAATCTGACACTTCGATTCGCAAGTCTGACTTCAAAGAAAAACGCCCCTCACATTTTTGCTCTGGGCAAAATCGTCAAAATATCATTAAAAAAAATACTCGGCAAAGAGTCATATGAACTGAAAGATGATGCTGGCCAGCAATTAATTGCAGTATCGCGTGTAGTCCCAAACTAAGACAGAGTGTCTGAGAAACAAACTCTCCAGAATTCCAGTGACCCAGAAGGTCAGACGTCATTGAAATAACTGAATCTTGTCGGTGACTGGTTTTATTTGTATTGGTTAAACTTCTCGCAAAAAACCTCCATATCGGGTCACATTCAAACTTCTTCTGATTAATGTAATTCGAAAAGAGTCCGGGTCTAATCACATGACTCTCTAGGAGTGGCGTAGGAAAGGCAAGGTTACGTACGTGACAAACAGTCAGCGACTATTCCTTCATCACGAAATTTTTCCTTAGAAATCAACCGGTGGAAACAGTTACAACTAAAACAACCTCGATGTCGACAAAACTACTTGGATGATCATCAAAAAAACCAAGTATCACTCCAGAATCAAAATGCTTTGGGCTGATTATAGTCTTTTCTTTTTATAAATTTAGTATGGTGAAGTCTTCAACTGTGGCCTCGTCTTTCCCTTTTCCGTGTCTTTTATAGTGATTTAGTGTCGGTGCTTGAAATGTGAATGCAACGCTAATATGCTACAGTTGTGCCATTGTTGGAAACGATGGGGCCAGGAAAAAGACCCTTTTAAATAAGCTACCAATGTACAAGATCCTCAAAGTGACGCGGATGTGTGTTTCCTCAATGCGCATGGAAGATTGCGGGACACATGAAGCTGATCAAGCGGTCACGCGAGGTGCGAAAGCGGTCACGCAAGGCGTGGTCGTCAATTTTTCCCAGATGTCCAACCGACATTTTGGCCTCCCCAGGTGTAAACCAGCGCTACTCAACAGACCTAAACAACACCCCCCGAGCACACTGTGCTAGTAAAGCCCCTCTCGTCTAACAGGTCTCTTGTGACTTATCACCCGCTATTTTACCCTTCACGGTTTGGAAAAATTCGTCATGAAAGAATAGCCATGCTTTTCCGACGCGGGATCAGAGCATCGGCGCTTTTGGAGCGGTATAAAATGGGCAGAGTCACATCGTGCGCGCGGTCATCACACACACTGGAAAGAGCCTGCAAGAAGAAATAGAGCATTACAATGTTCACAATCCATAAAACGTTTTCGCTGGCGTGCAATTGGTGTGAAACGCGTCAGATGACCGAGTGTGTAAATGTAAAGCAAGACCAATGCATTAACCAACAGGGAATGCGTCGGTCTTTTTAAGGCGAGCGAGGACAAGCACGACGCGAGCGCGTGGAAAGCTCGAGAGGCGAGACACGCGAGACTAGAGGAGCTCCACCTTGCGCGCATGGTTTTCCTGCACGTCCCACGCTTGACGGTGCTCGCCAGATGACTATTTTAAAAGCATTGATCAACCGAACAGAGTACTAACTACAACATCACAGAGAAAGGCTAAATTTATAGTCTGAGAAATATAAAAGCAAATTCAATTCTGCTCCATTGAAAAATTTTCGAAAAACTTTTTTTTACGTTCTCCCACCTAGCACAGAAGCAGCTTTTCATAATGTTTTTCATTTCGCCTCATGGATGTAAATCTTTTCAACAAATATTAGTCACTATTGGTTTATGCAGAAACGCTTCTAACCGAAAAAATCTAGAAATTCTTGAGAATAATACAAAACAGTGGTCATTACGAGATACTAAGTATCCTTGCAAGCTGTAAATCAAAAGTATGGTGAAAAATATCTCACCTCTAGTTTCCTTGCCCTTTCTTTACTCAGTGGTTCCAGAGGAAAAATCAGGTCATTGGCATCCGCAAGTGATCGCAAGTCAAAATAATATTTAGCATAGACGCTTGATGGCACATTTATATTAAACTGTAATAGCTCGAGAAACGCTCTCTCCAATTCATTCCTGCAAATATGAAACAAACGAAGTCATGTCACACAGTCGTTGGTTTGCACTTCGATTGATCAGTTTATTTATTTATTTATTTGCGCTATTTAGACAGGCTGGCCCAGTTCAGCTTTAAATCTGGATTATGTATCGTCCTTGATAACTCGGAGAAACACTTGAAGGCCAAACGAAATGAGGAAAAGTACAATTACACTCGAACTGATTTAAATCAAAGAAAACTCGAACACACAAGACAAGTTCAGACCACAACACCGAAGGCCATGTTCCCTACTCCACGTGTGGGTTCTTAAACTTCTCCTGCTAACCAGTACAAAGAAGATACAGGAGACGGGGCCTACAGTTTACCGTCCTTATCCGAGAAAACTAATAACTTCTAACCATTTGCGGATGTCATAGCAAAGGCAACACGTTATCCATTGTTATTTAAAGACTTTGAGTGTTGGTACGTTCTAAGACTTGAACCCTCGACTTCTGACACGGCAGTCTAACATCTACAACTTGAGCTAACCAGGCGCGGTTTTTTAGGACAGTAACTATGGATATTTACAAACTTACATGTCTTCAACTGTTATGTCTTTTAAAATTTGGCAGTAGTCGACATTCCATACTATCAAGAAAAGCAAATCAAGCAAAATTAGCAAAGATAAGGGAAGAAGATGGACATTTTTTCCTAACCTTTTAAATTACATTAACCTAATATTTTATCAAGGTATGAGGACAGTGCAATGGCAATCGTCTTACCAGCTTGATCATCCCATACTTTGGATGACAATAAAATGGCACCTAATAAAATTCTTTTCCAGTTTCCAGGATGAACGTCTATCTCGGCATAAGTCAGCAGCCTTTCAAGATAAACCTACAGGTTATAAGAAGAAAAAAAATACAAACATAATTTATTAAGGAAAATTAGTTAATTCGAAAAAATTAGAAAAGACTAAAATTCAAATATGTAAGACCTGGCTTTGACCCTTGATAGCACCACACCAACAAGATATCAATAACAAAAATAATAATAATAATAATAATAATAATAATAATAATAATTTATTACTTATTGGGCACAAATTAACATCTGAATATGATCAAATGCGCCTTACAACACTTTGCAGGGGACTTTGGTCAGACTGCATTGAGCAGTTTGCAATTATTTTTTGGAAGGAGATTTAGCAAATGCCCCCAATTTCAGATTCTATGGCAGACCACAACACCAGGAACTACGTCCCCTACTCTCTGCGATAAGTAGGCAGACCTAACTATGGCAGACCACAACACCAGGAACTACGTCCCCTACTCTCTGCGATAAGTATTACTTACCAGTACTAAGAAGATGCAGGAGACAGGGCCTATGGATTTTTGTCCTTATCCGAGAAGACTAGAATGTCTAACCACTTGCAGGTGTCATAGCAAAGGCAGCGCATTCTCCTCAGTTATTTAAAGACCCTGAGTGTGGGTCCAGTCTGGGTCTTGAACCCAGACCTCCTGCACAGTAGTCTGGCACTCATCCACATCAGCTAACCATAAGCTAACAAGCCAATTGGCTCAGTTGGTAGAGCACTGCACCGGTATTGCAGAGGTCATGGGTTCAAATCCTGTACAGGCCTGAATTTTTCCAGCTCTTTTTTCAGTACCACTTATTTATAAATAGTGTTCATTACTGAGAAGATCACTTTCATATTCACTCCTTTATCTGCAGTTCACCTATATGATTTTAATATATTCACAGTTATTGAAGAAAAGAATGCTTATCATGTTGCTCAACTTACTAATGTAATTATTGCACATTCTGCTGTAAGCTGAGCTGCATGAAAGAGAGTTTTGATAAACTTGTATATATGTCTGTGTTCTGGGTCAACTCTGTCATAGTAATCAGGCACAGGATCATGCTGGAGAGCAAAGAACAATTAATTCATAGTGCTTTAAAAACAAAAATGAAATCTTAAGGGAAACTGGCAAAGAAAACTCTGACCCTTTGGGGACTGAGCTGCTCAATAAACATTTTAAACCATAAACATCAGTATGCATATTCTCCATACTGTTCTCTATACATTTTCTTTGCTATTGAGAAGGAGAATTTGTTGATCACTTTCTTGATTCTCATGACCTTTATGATTGATTCAGGAGTGATACTGTTCGGAGAAGTTAGATACTGGTCACTCTAAGGGGTCAAATGATAAGCTGCTTTCTTGGATAGCATCATGCCCCCTGGCAATCCCATAACCCACAATGCAATGCATATTTCATGAACCTTACAACAGGTTTTCTCTTTTAGTTTTCTATCTTTCAGTAGCATGACATATCCTGCGTCACCAGTGTATGAAAATGTCAATCCCCCCTCCCCCATCCCCTAATCTCTGAACCTGGTAATTCATGGCACTTTCTTAGATTTAATTTAAAGTTTTCAGTTGTTGTCCAAGATATCTTTACTTATATCTTATATGAAGGGATTCAAACCACTGTATGTGACATAACTACTTTATTATGCACTCAAATCAGATTTATGCTTCTTAACAGATGCACATGATTTGTTTTAAATAATTAATATTCCTTAAAAGTTCCTTACTGTGAGAGGGTGAGCTTTTTCATCAAATATGTCCAGAGAACGCACATCGTGGTCTCTGAAGTAAAGAATGAGACTTCATTTCAATATTATATCAACTAAATGTTGAGAAATATGTTTTTTTGTCTTCTCACAAGCAAGGGACAAAGAAAATATTCTCAGTTCCCATAAGGAATCGAAACTCAGACCTTCAGATTCCACACTTCGATGCTCTACCACTGAGCCACAGAGACTCTACTGTGAGCAAGGTCTATTAAAAAGTTCATATGACACAAATCCTGCATACTTCTAGGATCAGCATTGTTAATAGCCTTGTGTTTGTGAATAGAAAAAGAGAGATGGAAAGTTTTGAGCTCGGTAAAGAAATAGAATAAGATGTTTTTTCAGCGTGGGGTAAATCTAGCAACAAATTAAATGTTTTTCAAATTAAAGCCAAAAAAGAAAAAAAAAACACTTTCAGTAATTATTGGAAGTATGGCCTGTGTACTGATTGCATCAGAGCACAAAAGAACTTTGCATTTGAATGTGGTTTACCACAATCTACTAATCTTTGCCTTTGGCAATCGTTTGGTAAAACTGGAAGACTAAGAACATAATAAAGTAAACGTCTACCTTGAGGGTAGCAGAAATGACAATATAAGTGTTTTACAAAAATTCAACAACTTCCATTTGAGGATAAACAAAGAAAAAAATTAATTCAAACAGTACTTTTGCTTATGTTAAAGGAAAGTGCATGCAAATATCTCGCAAATATTACCAAAAACACAAAATAAGCTATTAACTAAATTGTTCTCCTTGATAAATTTTGAGTAACAAAAATTCATATATGGCAAACTGCCCTGTGTCAATAATTATGTGCTCCTGTTTCTTCTTTGTCACAATCTTCCTTAATCGCAATCAATCTTAATTTAATCAAATTAAAATCAAGCAGAATATAAATTTTTGATCCTATTTTTTTTCTATAAAACTAAAGATTCTGAGGTAAACAGCCCATGTTTATTGAATAAAACAGCTGAAAGAGCCACTTTAAGATATATTACAGCAGCTAAAACAATTTATAACAACTGTTTGTAGAGAAACAAAACAGTACATGTGTACACTTCAAAACAGACATAACAATTACCCACCTGTTCTTAATATGGTAATATATTGCCAAAGCCACACTGTGAAAAAATAATAGCACAGTTTAAGACTGTGTTTTTGTAAAGAAAATATCTTAATTGTTGCTAACTTTGAGGTTAATTCATGGTGTACCTGAATTCTACAAGCATTATTTGCACAATATGACGTTTGTGCCGTTTGCTTTTATTTCATGAGTGAAAAAGGAGTTATAGAGATAATCACCAAATAAAATATAAACCTTGCATTCCTAAGTGTCCAAGAGTTTGCTATAGCCACTTCACAAAAGGCACAAGAAAATTTGTAACTGTGACAACCAACCTTTCAAAAAATTATTTAAACAATCCAGCTTGACGTCTCCCTTCCCTCCTTTCAATGTTAGTTATAAGAAAACTCCAGCGCTCGCAGATAATTCATCATTGAAAGGGGAATAGGGTGTGTCAAGAAAATTTTATGAGGGTCATACCTAATCCCCCCCCCCCTTCTCTAATGTCAGTGAAATACTTTACCATTTAATAGTAGATTTAAGGTTGGGCTGACTCACTGTACTGTCATCAAGAAAGATTGTTGAACAAGAGCTACATTTTCTTGTCAGAGTTCCCTTGAGAAAATAAAAAAGTCAAATTATGGTGCATGACTAAGTTTAAAACTAAGTAATTGGAAAGAGAACCTCTAACTTTTTTTTGGTAAAGATATAAATACTCTACAGTCTGAGCATTATTGACATCAGTTACGTACTGGTAACATGATAACATCTTAAAAATCTATTTGTCTAGGGCATGCTGGATTTAAGGTTTATTTTTGGCCCTGTGGACTTGATACAACTCCTTCATCACAAGGAACATTTCCCTCTCTTCTCTATTTTCCTGTTCTCTTGGTTCAAAGAGCCAATGAGAGAGAAGAACACGTGATCACATGACCACCACAATATGACGGCCTCTTAGGCCAGAGCAAGGGAGAGGATGTGCAGCTTGACCCAGATTCAAGTGCACTTACTCATAGCCTACGCCATGCTCTTGGTGCAGTAAAAAGTGAGCATTAGCTGAATGAGGCAATCAGCTACATTTTTAACTTTACACCAATTATAAATTAACATCTCCTCAAAAAAGGGGTCATTTATGAACAAAAAAAACCGTATAGATAGATAACTTCATTCATAGGTAACAAGGGCTATAAATAAGCCTGGATTTAAAGCATCCTTTTCTAATCAACCTTTGGGATAATACATTTATACTGGACATATCTGATCTTACCCCCATCCCATTTCTCTTCCTTGAATCACTTCCTGTTGAAAATGTACGTCTTCCAGGAAACATTCCATTGTTACCTTAGAATAAAAAAATTATACTTAGTTTATATCCAATCTAATCAATCTCATTGTAATAATGAAAATTATACTTAGTTTAATAATCTTATCAGAAGTATCATCATGACCAGTATAACTGGTCATAAATATGACCATGGGCATTGCAGTAGGGGTTAGTGATAACAAAGAGCATTTATTAATTATAAATAACCCTATACACTCTTAGAAGTGATTAACATGTCACTTTTCCCTATAATATCATTCTATACACTATCCAGCAAACAAGTAGCAAGAATACTCATTCTTTTCAGGAAGAAATTGTTATCTTTATCTAACATCAAATTCTCCTAACTAATTTACAAGGAAATGTGTGGCAGCTAGGAAGGAGAATTCACAACCAGATCTTGGGAGTTAGAGGGATAATCAGGAAGTGCAGCATCTCAATACCTCTGCTGTTCACTGTCACTCAGATTGGGAACCATAGTTCACTACTGTTACATTTGAAGATGTATGCAAGGTTTTCCACAGGGTGTTCAAACAGGATTCAAACAACCTCTCTGAAAGTCCTCCTGAAAGTTACTCGAGCAACTTTCCTCACAAATAAATAGGATCCCAGTAGGCTCATTGGACTTCAGACTTTCATCTTCCATCCATACTGTATATATCAGCCATCACATCTGGGATAAGTGTGGCTTTGCCAAAAATGCATCATTCCCAAGAATTTAAGGGTTGATTTACAGAGATAGCCATTACATGGAATCAGCTTACAACTTAAATTTAACACTGTGATGGTCATGCAAAATGTCACCACATTTAAAAATTTTATGACGAGTCATAGCAGCAGTCATTTTTAAAAAGAAAGTCACATGTTGCTTTTCTTAAAATCACAAGAGAAACTTTTCCAGGAGAATTGGCTTTATCCCTTTACATCCCAGCATCAATATCTCTATGCTCTTCTTTATACATTTCCTTTGATACTGACAGGGGGAATTTGTTTAACCCTTCCACTCCCAAGATTTGGTTGTTCATTCTCCCATCTAGCTGTTACACATTTCCTTGTTATTCAGTTACAAGAATTTGGTGTTATATCATGATAACAAGTTCTTACTGATAAGTTTGAGTAATCTCATTACCTGTTTGTTAGACAGTGTATGGATATTGTTGGGAGAAGGTACATGTAAATCACTTCTGGGAGTTAAAGGTCAACCATTGTAGCTTCCTAGGTTGGAAATTATTTCCTTTATTCTAATTATCTTATTGAATGATTCGGAAATATTAAAGTTAGATGAAATAAGATCCTGGTCACTCTTTGGGTTTAAAGGGTTAAGTAGATTTACAACCAAAGACGATAACCTAACAAGTCAGGTGTGGTTAGTTAGTTTAGCCTATTGTCTGAATCTTGAGATTTTGATTCGGTGCAGACAAAAATTCCCTACAAAATTATATACCATACCTTTCCATCAGGAAAAAAAGAAAGATTTATCATCAAGACATTTACACAGGAAAACAATAATAAGGGCTTTTCGAGGGAATTTAAGAACATATTTCGCGTTGTCACGGATCACATGTGTGGTGTAGACAACAGGTCAGATCAGTTGACCAAGATATTGGATTTTAATCTCACGGATCTCCAAAAGATCCAGTTGCGTGATCCGTAGAACGTTGACACAAATTACTTTTGAATCACCTTGAAATCTCCTTTTGTAAATTAAATTGTAGTGTGATGTTAATCCAAAACATGGAAACGTAGGTCACAAGATAAATTAAATACTGTTATTAAAAATTCTGAATTACACAGACGACAATTTTTTGAGTCGTACTTTCACAAACTCGGGTGATGGCAACTCTGCTGTGTTTTGAGGGAAAATCGAAGCAAGTTTTAGAGAGGATTTGTTCCTTATGCAAGACAGGAGTTAAGGTTGCTAGTATCTTATACATTCGAACAGAACACAAACATGTGACTCAAAGATGATCGAATTGTGTTTCACCCTAGTTATAAAATCAAGAACATGCAAAATTAACCGTCATTTATCTTACCTGGATTGGAGAGGGATCGATGTAAAAATAAGGTTCCTTTGTGGTTTGATAGATCTGAGAAGAAATTAGACGAAAAAACATCAATCATCCAATTCGCTTCGCCGAGCATGCAATCACTATAACCTCTTGCCCTTTCACAAACAATTTGCTCGCCGCTACCTTCTCTATCGCTAATGTGCGGTAGTTCGAACGTCTCGTTGGCATGCCCTGTTCTATCATAGGGTTCGTTTTTCACTGCAGGTCCACCACGAGGTGAAGGAAGGACACAGCAGTGAATGTTACCCATGGTAGCTCTCAGGAGCTTCGCGTACGTTCTCGACAACGCGATGTCCGCGAGTAAAAGCGTCTTCCTTCCACAACGCCGCCAACTACATCATCACAGACAGGTAGTTTGTGTCAACGGAGACTCTTCCAACAAACATCGGTATCTCCACATTGTCTTGTTACCTCTGATTGGAGTTATTCCAGATACAGTACACAAAGTTTGGATACCTAAAACTACATTCGACAACAAACAATCTCCATCAAATAGGTTTTGTAATTTGATTGGTCTAGCGATAAGCTACGTCATCGTCTGCTCATATATGGAGAAAATTCTGGATTGGCCCAGGAAATTTTTACAATTTCTTCCAGTTGGGCCCGGAAAAAAATGTAACACTTTGTTGCTAATGCATCTAAACACGCAACAAATAAATGAAAACCCCGAATAGTGTGATGCGTAAGAAATGATCATAAAAAGATGTCCGTAGAGATTATCACATCTACGATAAAAACGTTTTAATTTTTTTTGTCCCTCACTTTCATTTAATTTTCAATGAAAATCTTGTTTGCACTTTTTTGTTAAATGTCAGCTGTATTGACGGTAATTTTTCTTTTCCCGAAAGGCTTGAATTAGTCAATAAAACCCTCAGGGAAATGAAATTCTAAATAAGGAAAAACATTCGTTTAAACAAATTAAAATTGCCCATGACACATAACAAAATTTTTTTTATGTATATTCCACAAAATAAATTGCAGTAGGGAGTAGTGAGATCAAAAAAGCGTATATTACTTTTAAATAACCCTACACACCCCCAGCCGTGGTTAACATATAATTTCTCTCTATTATATCCATAGAAAGACAGTAACGAGAATACTCAACCTTACGTCAAATGAGCACTTGTCAAATCAAAACTAATCTTTTGTTTTCATTTGTAGAAAGTACCTCGACCACTGTCGACAAAGGTTTTCTAAACACAAAAACACTGTACAGCGGTTGTTGTTGTAGAGGCAAAGTACTGGGTTCTACTTAGCAACCCTCCCTTAACGACAAGCAAGAACAGTCAAGGGGCCATATTTACAGTTTTGTCGTGTTGTGAGTAATTTTATTTTATCCGTAGTCTTCCGGAAAAAAAAGCCATTTTTCCGCCATGTATGACGACGACGACGAACCAGAAGGGCCAAAGAGTTCTTTCACGACTTACCTTTCCGAAGGAAATGTGCATTTTAACCAGGGGGAATACAAAAAGGCTCTGGATAGTTACACTCAGGTATACTCGAATAACTTGGTCGATTTCAATGAAATATTCTTTGATCAAAAACACTTACGATTCTCTAGAATATCCTGATTTATTCGAGCTCTTATAAATGCTACTTCTTTGCTTTGGAAGTCTTGAAGTCTTGCCATTAGTTCAAGATTAAAGATAATAAAACAAAATTACCGTTTATCTATGTGATTATTTAAGTATCGTGATGTACTTTTGTAGCCAAGTTGCTGTCGTTGCATGACTTCCTACTGTGATTGGACCTTTCAAAATATTAGCGGTTACAGGATGTTAGTCTTTTCTCTGATCCGACATGAGATCGACAAAATTTAATGACTAGGAATTGAACTTGCTTTGTTGCGTTTGATAAATAGCAGGATTGAATCTCAATCTGGTTGACAGTGCAGTACGTTTTGTTAAAAGTTATCCACTGGATGGTGAATTTATCTGTTGGATGGTGTTATCTCAGCCCTTTATACAACTAGAACCAGTTTTTTACGATCATGAAAAAATTTTAGATACCAAATATTTATCTAATGTGCCCACAAATGATGTGCATTGTCCCGACCCACACAAGCATCTCAGTTCTCTGTGATTTGTTCTGATTGGCTGACACAATTACCTCAATATTGGTTTTATGGGACTCAACCCTAGAATGTTCAAATGAAATTAAATGATCTATTTACATCTTCTTTTCACAGGCCCTGGAGCTACAGCCAGGTTACAAAGTGTGTCTTGTCCAGCGATCAAAGTGTTACTTGAGGTTAGGCAATGCTGATGCCGCACTGAGAGACGCAGAAGAATCACTTGCAGAAGATAAAGAATATAACAAGGTTTGGAAGCCTGTCAACACTTTAAACCATTAGATCTGATTTGTAATTCACCTCTCTAGATACTACTCATTTCATGGTTAACTTGACAAGAGAATTTGGTTTTACATCAGTAACACCTTCTACATGTAACTGATAAGTTGATTATTCTGACTTATAACTTGTTAATTAGATGATGCATTGAAACTGTGAGGAATATTTAAGTATTTACTTTTAGTATAATTGTTCTGGTGATTATTCAGATGTACACAATCTGATTGGTCAAGGATAGTGTAAAATTTAATCCCAAAGAGCATAAAGGCTGCTACTAAGTTTGGTAGAACACTTTTAAAAGATAAAATATAAATTTTACATTGTTAAATTCAGGTAGAAACTGGGGATCAATATCAGTATCTGGGCAACTACTCACCTACCCCTCCCCTGACCCAACATTAACTTTAACTTGTTATCAATTGACTGTTGTTGAGTTAAGGGAGGGGTAGGTGGGCAGTTGCCCAGATACTGATATTGATCCGAAACTGGCTGCCCATCTTGATACAAGTAATTAAAAAAATTGTAACAAAAGATATGCAAAGTTTTCTTTATTTATAGAATGGTTGGAATAACATAATGAATTTGCTGCAGAATTCAAAAGCACCTGAGCAATTATATTAAAATAATTATTTGCCTCAGGCTCAGTGAATATTGTTGAATAATCCCCTTGACTTTATCCTGATGTTGTTAACCATTTATACCCTAATATCAGTATTCATATTCTCCATACTGACCTCTGTACATTTACTAAGGTACTAACAAGAAGAATTTGTCTAACAATCAAGAGTTTCTTTAGTTGGTGATCATTTCCTTTATTCTCATGACATTAATGAGTGATTCAGTGGTGGCATTGTAAGGAGAAATTAGATGCTAGTCACTCTTAGGGGTTAAAGGGTTAAAAGGTTTTCATCTCAGTGACAGGAGTTACAGGGATAGGGATCTCAAGGGATGTGCTCTAACAATGGTGGATCTAGGGGAGGGACCCAGGGGGCGAGAATCACAGATGGAAGAAAAGCTGTATGGCAAGCGATGAAAAACCGCCGGCCCTCCCCCCTCCCCAGCTCAAGGTCTGGATCTGCCACTGTCTTAAATTCCCTCTCTGAAAAAAGAAAATGATTGGAAATTTTCTTGCATTAAATTTTGGCAAGTATCCTTATTTTGAGGAATTCTTCCTCAATGTTTTATTGAAAGGTAAGTATGGTAGAGTAATTTTCTTACTAACGGTACTCGTTTGTTGTGGAGGTTCAACATTTCAGTTAATAACAAAGGGAATTTATTTATATACAGGGCCTTTATCAGAAAGCAGAAGCTCTTTATTCCAAGGGAGAGTTTGAGTATGCTCTCTTGTATTATCACCGTGGATATAAGCTGAGACAAGACCAGGAGGAGTTCAAACTTGGCATCCAGAAAGCTCAAGAGGCCATTGATAATGCTATCGGAAGTAAGAATTACTTGTCATAATTCATTCACTGAGTAGATCAGTAGATTTATACTGAGTACCCATGGTTTTACCTGATGTTGCTCTGTGATTGGTCTCAAAAACCAACCCCCCCCCCCTGCCTCAAGCAGTCAGATGTATTAAACAAAGACTAATATGATGAATTGATCTCATGTCTTTACTGTACTTTTGTGACACTCCATCTAGATCTGATTTTATATAATGAATTTTTTGACCACCCTTAGTGAGAAGAGATCTGTTTACAAACCAAAATTTTAACAATGTGTGAAAACTTGCATTTTAAAAAAGTTTTACAT